TGCAGTTATCGAAGCGGCTCAGCAGGAAAATGGGCAGCAACTGCACTGCAATGAATGAGACAGTTGGGCGGATAACGACAGGGCCAATCAGTGGTCGGTAATCAGGCTGGACATCAATGTATTGGTTTGCGCATACGGCTTACTCCAGTAGGCATGTGCAAGGCACAGGATACCTATGCAAGTCAGCTTCGACCACACCACTTCCTAAGTCAACGTGCTCGCTTGGACAGCAACCCCCATTCAGAATGACCCAGAATGTCTCAACTCCATAACTAGCCTCTGAGTTCTACAAAAGTTGCCCTCAACGAAGTCTAGTCAAGTTAACTGTACTTACTAAGCTAGAGTTTCATTTGCAGCTTCAAGTGGTGTTCATAATTGTTAAAATTGACAATGTCAATAGCCGGGGACACTAGACTTCTCTGGTCCTCCTGTTGCGGGGGTGTTCTGAGAGTGGGGGTTCTTACAAAGAGGGTGTGTTGACTTCATGTATGTACGACAGCGGCTTGACGGTCCATAAATGATTCGGCATGGGCTCTAGGGCTTGGCGTGATAGTGTAACATGAATTGCTTGACGCCGTGCCGAATTGTGAAAGGTGGCTGGGAGCGTCGCGTATGCGAGTTCCGTGCTTAAGTCTCTGTCTATTGAGAACTGACCATCGCTAGGCTAGAGGCGAGGCAGGATATCCGATAGGTAAAGGACTTTTTCCTAGGTTGTAAATGAAATCGACATTTGAATCTACATAAGTACTAAACTTTCTTCATGAAAAAAAAGAGGCATTGTCTGGACGTTAAAGATGCATTGACATGACAAACCGCATCGACGTGGACTCTCATTTCCCTTTTCTCTGTTCCCAAATCCAGCAAATTTGTAGCATCCCTTCCTTCTGTACACCGAGTTGACGAGGACCGAAACTCAGTAAGTGTAACAATCGTTTACGGATGACCCGATGCATGGTGCATGATCCTCTACCTATCGCAGCATCTTGTGCGAGAGTTCACCAAACAGCTTAAAAGGGTAAGAAGCCAGCCGGTGCAGCAGTCGGCCGCGAACAAAAGTCCCGACTGCAAAAAGTACCGAAGTACGAAAGTTTGGTTCCGACTTGGGCGCTCATCCTCCGGGGCCGAATCACGATGACGCACGAGCACGATTGCAAGTTGTCAGGGTGCGAGTATATACCGAAACCTGAGAGCAATGACCCAGTGACATTCACATCTTATGTCCTACGGCGGAGTAGAAATAAATCGGAATCTTTAACTCTAAGTAACCGCCTGCATCACTCTTAGAGTATCCTTACAAAAGCACTTAATAAGGTGCTGACATCTAAGCTAGTTACATTGTTGGTCCAATTGGCCTTTTCATGGTTTTCACTATCAACATAACCATGTTCACCTTTTCCAGCTCGTTCATGTTCGATTTCGAACTCACTCGAATTCTGGGCAGTGCCTCAGGCGGCGGCTGCGACGTTGGCGAATTCAAGAGTGCTCTGAGCAAGATCAAGAATGATGACCCCGAATCCTGGTACGTCGCGTGGAATGATCAAGCAGAGCGGGCGCAACGGATTGCAGACGAAGCGGCAAAGGCTGGCTACAGAAAACCCGCACGAAACGCATACCTTCGAGCTTCCAACTATTTTCGGGCAACGTCGTACATGCTCAGCAACGATGATGCTCGGGTAGTCCCCTTTACCGAGCGATCTATTGACTGTTTCCAGAGGGCCACGACTCTGATGGACGGCGAAGTCATGTGCGTAGATATCCCCTACGAAGAAGGCATCAGTCTTCCGGGATACCTCTTTCTTCCGCCTCGATTTGCCAGACTTTCGGGCAAGATACCCATAGTCATGTATGCAGCAGGAGCCGATTCGACAAAGGAGGAGCTATACTTCCTGTATGGACACACAGGGCCTCAGCTTGGGTATGCCGTTCTTTGTCTTGAAGGCCCCGGTCAGGGGTTGATTTTGAAGAAGTCAAAGATCCCTCTAAGGCCAGACTTTGAGGTTGTTGCAGGGAAGATTGTGGATTTCCTTGTCAATTTATCAGAGTCTCGGCCAGCCTTGGAGCTTGATCGAGAGAGAATTGCAATGGCGGGGGCGGCGACTGGCGGCTACTTTGCCCTTCGCGCTGCGACTGATCCCCGGATCAAAGCATGCGTATCCATTGACCCATTCTTCAGCTTGTGGGATTTGTGTTTGAGTCGTGCCCCCAAGGCATTTTTCAAGCTGTGGGACAGCGGCTGGATCCCAGACGGAACCTTCGACATGTTCACAGATAGGCACGGTAGGGGGAACTTCCAGGCAGGCTGGGAGATCAACCTGGGGAAAAGCAGTATGGGAGTCGAAAAGCCTACCGCCATGTTCAGGCGCTTCAAGGATTTCACTCTGGAGCCGGCAGATGGCGGAATCTCAATCTTGGACAAAATTACGTGCCCCGTGTTTCTCACAGGACCAGGCGCTGGGCGGGACATGTATTCGTCCGCCGAAGACAGCACATTTAAAATCCATAGACTGCTTACCAATGTCCCTGACAAGAACAAGGAGATTTGGGTGCCGACGGATGTGGCGGACGGCGGTCTGACGGCCAAGATTGGAGCCTGGGCGTTGTTGGCGCAGAAAACATTCATGTTTTTGGATGAGCACTTGGGTATTGAGCGGCCCCAACTGTAGCTCAAGGATATTGGCGTGGAAGTGACTACCGTACCAAAGGGTTATGTCGAGCGTAGAGAACTCGGCTGGCAAAATATCGTGTATTGCAAACAGGAAACGCAGCCGACAGTCATTGTTTTAGCCAAGCATATCAATGAGAACTGCTCGCAACCAATAACCCCGATAACAGGTTGCGTGCCTTACTGAACTACTGATAATCGATATATCCTCGTTATCCCTGTGCGTAATCGCAGGTGGATTTCCCCTCATCCGGCTGATGCCTCAGACATCCAGAGTAGGTTCTCTTGGGCGGTGCCTACAGCCAACCAAAATGCATGCTGATGAAAGCGGCTGACGACCATCAGTCGATCCAACAAACAAAGGCGGGCGCATCACCAACCCGAATCAACTCTTTCTAACAGACTACTGCCGCCACAACCATGCAGCAAAATCAGCAACGGGCGCTCGCTACACGGTCGGCATGTGACCGATGCCGAGACCAAAAGCTGCGATGTCTGCGCTCGCAAGGCCAGGGCGACGGAGTCTGCGTCCGCTGCGCCCGAGCCGGCGTATGCTGCGTGACAGGTGCTCCGCGGCCACTGGGGCGTTCTCGCACCGGCGTCAACGACTCTCATAAGCAGCAGCAGGGGCTCCGAAGACCGCGACATTCAGTATTTGTCTCTGTTACGGTACCCCAATCCGCGCCCCGAGTCTCTTCTTCCGCGTCTGTTCCGGGATTAGAGCCCGACAAGACCGCTACCGAAATCGCACAGGAACTTGTGGCATCGCCACCGGCTCGCGACAGTGACAGCAGCTTCGGGTGCTTCCACGAGCCCCTCGCTGCGGACTCTAACGAACTGTCTAGTATGTTGCTCGACGAGGGGGTCTCCGGCAGCGACATGACTCCGGACGATGCTGTCATCGACGCCCTGGATCTTGCATTCCCCGACAACCCAACCGCGCTATCAGACCTTGTCGGCGGTCCCAACACAGAGGAGTTTTTCATGGAGCTTGAAGCAGACCTCGATGAGCTTTTTGGTGGAGGTCAACCAGCCTCAAAGTCGCTCTCTGCTCTGTCGGGCACCGACAATCCGAGTTTTTGCGTTGACACAGCTTTCCTGCGTCAATCCCTACCTGGCAGCGCCCTGGAAATCACAAACAGACTGCCGCCAGAGCCGTCTCTCGGGCCCAACGGCAACACGCTCGTTCGGCTTGCTCGTATCAACGAGTGTATCGCCCATCAGCTTTCGCACATGGGTACTTTTGTTATCGGCATCCCCCCTCCCAATCTCGTCAATTCCTGTGTCGAAGGGGCCGCGGATCTGCAGGTCAATCCCATTCTCCGGGCGATAGAGAGCACCTCTGAACTAGCTGCCATAATCAGAGAAATTATCACGCCGGTTCAGGACCACGGCTCTTCGTCGTCCCTAAACATACCGGTGGTGCTCATGTGCTTGTCTAGCCACATACAGCTGCTGCAGATTTACAACTCCATCTTCTTTCATGTCCACCGGTTCTTGGGTAGCCTTCACGATACCATCGGCTTCTTTGAGAATCTGCCGGGCTTCACCCACATCAGCGGCCTACCGCCTATGAAGGGCGACTTGTATATTCAAATCATTATTCAAGTTACTCAGCATAATATCAGCAGCGTCGAAAGAGGTCTGGGCCTCTCTGCAGACTTGTGCCTCTCGAGGCAGCGGACGTTTTCAAGAGGCTTGTTGAGCTACGTGGATTCACTTGAACCATTTCAGAGCATTATGGGCCAGTCGTGTAATCCTTCTGAAAAGTCAGGACAAGCCCTTGTTACATCCTTAAGAATACAGATTAGAAACGTACTAGGCATTCTAAGAGATACTAGCTAGTTTATACTAAGTTTCAGTTTAAAAACATTTAGAACTACTGTTAAAGTATATTAACTAATAGAATATTGTTATTCTATATATATTATGTATATCTTAAAAATTCATTAAGTTACCTTTCTAGAGTTTGCTTAAGATAAAATGCATGTGTTAGAAGTATGTAAAGTAAAGGTGCTTAGTTATATAAGATATTTAGATATTTAGTAGTACTACTTTTTACTAATAAGTAGCTTAGGCTGTTGTTATAGTTAAATATCTAACAGTAGTGTTTTCTACTAATAGGTAGCTAAGGCTTAGATACTTATAAACAATACTAACAGGTCTTATTAGCTTGTTAGCTTACTAGCGTCTTATAAGTAAGTATATTATAATTAGTAATTAAGAAGTTGCTGCTTACTGCTTTTAGCAGTCCTAGAAGGTCTGGCTAATGGCAGGTGCGGTCCCTACTACTAAGCACTCCCTACTTCAGCCGTCCTTTTCCCTGTAGACTGGTACATACGACCATACCCACTGGAAAGCTTAGGATCCCGTCCGCTCTCCCATAGATAAGCTAGTAAGGGCCGGATCAGTAGTTAAGTTAGTAACGATTGGTAAATACCTGGTGTTATACGTCTCTACTTATATGTTCTCCTACTTCCTGGCTTTTGCTCTACAGCTACTATAAGGAGCTACTATAAGGGGGATGCTAGGCCGCATAGAAGAAGCATTCTACCTTCTCCCTATAAAGGTCTTAGTTACTATTTTGAGCTAATAGGGCCTGCTACTACCCGTTCCTGCGGTCGTCGCCTGTTTCTGTAGTCGTCAGGCCTACATCAGACGAAGGGCCGCTCAGGGTTCTAGTATTGTTTCAACAAGATCCAAGCGATCCTTAACCTAATGCTAACTAAAAACAAAACTCCGCATCTGGCCTGTTACGTGCGGACAAGGTTATCTACAGAGAAACCTGCGCAGTGTTTTATAGCTACAATCGCTTCAATTTCACCAATGTTGCGCCTAAGTAATTAGCTTTATTATTTAAGCAGATCGTAAGTAAAACAGATTAGAGTAAAAGATTCTGGCTGTATTTAACATATTGTTATTAAGTTTCTGTGATTCTTCTATCTAGACATTAGCGATGTTACACGTAAAGAGGTAAGCGTTATTATTGTAATGTTCTTGCGTACGAACTCCTTCTGAAGGACGACATTAGGGGAAAAGAACGGATTTTAGTATAACTAAGAACTAGAGGGACTTTTAATAATTTAAATGCTTACTGTATAATACCTTAGACGTAGCCATAGAAATCTAGCTTGGGGTTAATGCAATTACCTTGTGCTTTATCGCTCCTGCTTTTTGTTAATAATTCTTAAGCAACTTAAAGCTACCAGCGTTACTAGCTCATACAAAATGTATAGAGTGCAGTATAGATCTAAAAAGGATAATACTGTAATCCTTGCTATGCTTAAGAAACTCTATAGTATGATAGGATCTGTATCTATATTTCTAGAGAAATTAGTATACTTTATACCTATATGTCGTAGAGTGCTAAGTAAATAATAAGTCTATTAAAGAAAAGGCTTATGATGTATAAATCTAAAGCCAGAAATCCCTATTATGGTATCTTAGCTAGCTATTTAATCTTACGCTATAGGATTATATGTTTAATACTACTAAGGGTGAGGAATAGTAATATAACCTTGCTAGCACCAGAAATTATCTTAACAGCTGTGGTAGACTTTTAGTTAGCTAGAATTACAAAGTATAACTCTATCTTAATTCTTGCTCTAACTATCTAGTTCTTGTTTAATCCAGTGTAAAAGTTTGTTATCCACGTTTAGATCTCTTCTGCCTAGAAGCTGTGTGTATCTAAAGCTTCTCCTAGCTTACAAAGACCTAGCATCTACAGCAATCTTTCTAGAGACATTAAGAATCTCATTCTTAATAGCAGAAATGTATATTGTTTGATTTAACTAGTTAACGCGTAGCGTCATGCTAAGGCTTTATAGCGTATGCAATTCTTATGCTACGCTTAAGCTAACTTTTCTTATAACAGCATGCTAACGTACCTAGAGAACTAAGTGATTTCATTAGAGATACCATTAGGGTTAAGGGTCTTGGAGTTACTTATATAACACCTAGAAGGCTATTCTGTGCTCTGTGCTTCTGCTGCGTAGGCGTCTAAGCCGTCAGAGTCCTCTACCACCGGGGCCGGTCCCTGGAGGAGGCTTAGGAGGGCCTGGTCCCTTATCTCTCTAGCGTTCTTAATCTCTATAAGCTTAGTGTCTGCGATGACGGCACCCTTAAGCACGGGGGTCAGGAATGCCTCGTTTGCCGCCTTATAGATCTTGCCGATAAGGGGGACCTCTCGGGCGACGAGCCGGAGGGCCCTCTTAAGCTATATCGTCGTCCGAATGGCCTACGGGGGCCGTGAACGTCTGGCTCTACGCGTCGACCGTCGGTAGGAGGAAGACGAGGACGCCCTTGCCGAAAACGCGGGCTAGCGTGCCGGGTAGCGCGTACCTGTGGACGGTCTTGCGAAAGAGCCTGGCCTTCTCTACTTACAGCTCTCGCGCAAGGAACTCGTATAGGCATGACAGTAAGTAAGGGGCCCTAGAGGGCTGCCGCCTTCCTGCTGTCCTATCCCTTGCTGCTTACTCTGGGTTAGGGTTAGGGTTAGGGTTAGGGTTAGGGTTAGGGTTAGGGTTAGGGTTAGGGTTAGGGTTAGGGTTAGGGTTAGGGTTAGGGTTAGGGTTAGGGTTAGGGTTAGGGTTAGGGTTAGGGGGTTAGG